TCTTCTTCTTCTTCTTCTTCTTCTTCTTCTTCTTCTTCTTCTTCTTCTTCTTCTTCTTCTTCTTCTTCTTCTTCTTCTTCTTCTTCTTCTTCTTCTTCTTCTTCTTCTTCTTCTTCTTCTTCTTCTTCTTCTTCTTCTTCTTCTTCTTCTTCTTCTTCTTCTTCTTCTTCTTCTTCTTCTTCTTCTTCTTCTTCTTCTTCTTCTTCTTCTTCTTCTTCTTCTTCTTCTTCTTCTTCTTCTTCTTCTTCTTCTTCTTCTTCTTCTTCTTCTTCTTCTTCTTCTTCTTCTTCTTCTTCTTCTTCTTCTTCTTCTTCTTCTTCTTCTTCTTCTTCTTCTTCTTCTTCTTCTTCTTCTTCTTCTTCTTCTTCTTCTTCTTCTTCTTCTTCTTCTTCTTCTTCTTCTTCTTCTTCTTCTTCTTCTTCTTCTTCTTCTTCTTCTTCTTCTTCTTCTTCTTCTTCTTCTTCTTCTTCTTCTTCTTCTTCTTCTTCTTCTTCTTCTTCTTCTTCTTCTTCTTCTTCTTCTTCTTCTTCTTCTTCTTCTTCTTCTTCTTCTTCTTCTTCTTCTTCTTCTTCTTCTTCTTCTTCTTCTTCTTCTTCTTCTTCTTCTTCTTCTTCTTCTTCTTCTTCTTCTTCTTCTTCTTCTTCTTCTTCTTCTTCTTCTTCTTCTTCTTCTTCTTCTTCTTCTTCTTCTTCTTCTTCTTCTTCTTCTTCTCCCTCTGTTTTTCTTCCTTCGCAGCTCACAGAAGCGCGCGACGTGAATCTTAAACGCCTGATAACTTTGCCTGCGCGTCTCAGAAACAATCCTTTCTTTCTTATTTCTTTTCCTCGTGACCCCCCCCCCCCCCCCCCTCCTCTTCCTCTTCCTCCTCTTCTCCTCTTCCTCCTCTTCCTCCTCTTCCTCCTCTTCTCCTCTTCCTCCTCCTCCTCTTCCTCTTCCTCCTCTTCTCCTCTTCCTGTTCTCCCTCCTCTTCCTCCTCTTCTTCCTCTTCCTCCTCTTCTCCTCTTCCTGTTCTCCCTCCTCTTCCTCTTCCTCCTCTTCTCCTCTTCCTGTTCTCCCTCCTCTTCCTCTTCCTCCTCTTCCTTTCTCCTTTCTCTTCTTCATTTCTTTCGATCACCTCCTTTTTCCTTTTTCGTACTGTTCCTCTTTCTCTTCTTCATTTCTTTCGACCACCTCTTAATTCTCCGCTTCTTTCATCTTCTTCTTCTACATCTTCTTCTTCTTCTTCTTCTTCTTCTCCCTCTGTTTTTCTTCCTTCGCAGCTCACAGAAGCGCGCGACGTGAATCTTAAACGCCTGATAACTTTGCCTGCGCGTCTCAGAAACAATTCTTTCTTTCTTATTTCTTTTCCTCGTGACCTCCCCCCCCTCCTCCCACCGCATTCTCTACCTATGTGTCTGTCTAACTGTTTATTTAAATACGTATCTATCTGTGTAAGTATCACTTTCTCTATCTATCTGTCTATTTATTTACCCATTTGCTTGCGTGCGTGTGTGAGTGTGTGGGTGTGTTTGCGAGTGTGTGTATTGAAGAAAAAGGAGGGAAAGAGGGTAGTCTTCCTATCTTATTATGCATAGAATCTGCTTGATAATGCATTCAAGCACATGCGGGGGGGGGGGTCGACAGAGGACCTTTTAAGGCGTTTGGTTAATGGAATTGGTCTCTTTCATCTTTGCCTCAGTGAGCGTCGAAAATATCTTAGAGTGTGGTGTGGGCTTGCATAGTGTTCATGATAGTGTGTATGTATGTTTGTGCATGATTGGGCAAAGAACCAGCAAGTGGTATTTTCATCATAATCACGAATACAAACCACTATTCATACGGTAGTGTCATCTCGTGCGACAAGTAGTTTCAGTGTGGTGGGACTTTCCAATGGTAGCTATGCTGGGACATCCACCAGACTTGGCAGCTTCTGTCTGGTGGCAGCGGCGGCATTTGCACTTTTTGCTGGGCCCATGTCCACGTCTCTAAGGAAGCCTCCGGGGCGAACCTAGCACCTAACACTGAAATCACTAAATGAGAAGATAAACAGAAGGAGAAAAGTTGTGTTTTTATATACCACATGCCAACTCTTCGTGTCTTTTTTTTCTGTGAATCACGAAACCAGCTGTTATTTTACTCCATTATTCCATGTATGAACTGTTATCCAAGTGACGTTATTTTCCAATCATATAGCCGATGGTTGATTTTCGGTAGATTATCTTTACCCCTTGACTCTCTTTTTTTCTTTCATTCTCTCTGTCTGTGTGTCTGTCTGAATTACTCATAAGTGCAGAATACAAGAATCCAGAAAACAAGTCCTTCTCTGTACATTTTAAAAATGGATTGGTAAGTGTAATATTATTCACACAGACACGCACAACAATGCACGTGTGGAGAGTGTGTATTCTTTGTGTCTATATATTCTTCCTTCTGTCTATTTTTCTGTCTCCCACTCTGTGGTGTGTATATGTATATGTATGTGTGATTATATATATATATATATATATATATATATATATATATATATATATATATTTATATATATATGTATGTATGTATGTATGTATGTATATAATATATATGTATGTGTGTGTTTGTGTAGACATGTGCACGTGTCTTTACATTCTTGGCCCCTGGCGTCTGAAGCCTCACCGCACACTCCCCCATGCCCGCCGCGCAGCCGTTCGTCTTTCCGCAGCAAATAGCCCCACATTTCCCTCCTTTGCGTGATGGCCGGAGGGAGGGCGAGAGAAACGCTTCTTCTTTCGCCGCAGAAGAAGGCGCTTCGGTGGCCATTAAGAGCTCGTTTGGACGCCGCCTCTCGGGGTTCGGGAAGGAGGAGGCGAGAGGGTGGGCAGTGGGTGGGTTCAGGAAGGACGGGGTGGGTAGTGGATGGTCTCAGGAAGGAGGGGGTGAGGGGGTGGGTTCGGGAAGGAAAAGGTGAGGGGTGGTTGGGTTCAGGAAGGAGGGGGGAGGGGGTTGTGTAGCGGGTGGGTTCGAGTTATTCTCGTTGGCGGACGCTCTAGGGCGAGGGATGATTATGTGCGGGAGTGATCGGTTTCTGTACGTATGTTTGCTTATTTGTGTATGCGTTACAGCTAGACATTTGTTTTCTTTATAGCCAGTAGTTGCCGGAATCAAGGTCTATATACTTCTATAGTCCTTGGCCGGAAGCATAGGAACCGCTCCGTTTCGATTCCCTGGTGCACGACGCCCTCAGCGCTCGGAGAACTGCCGGAGAGTTTTGGCGGAATCGCTCCAACTGCGCCGCCTCTCGGCACCGGCATCTACACTCAGTCAGGAAGTAGAGAAGCGGTTCCGAGATCCGTGTGCCACGTGCCTGAGGGAACGAGTTTTCAGAATGAATGGATGGAGTAAACAGAAAAGAGATGCCTTAGTACTAGGAGTTTTCAGCCCACAATGCACCTCTAAATTACTCGTAACATATTCGATGCTCTTTTCTAAGAGGAAGCATTTTTTCAGATAATAAGTCTGACGTCACAAGTTTTGACCAGCCATGTGTGAAGAAAATCACAGGCTAAACTGCAACACACTACTGTAGCCAATCAATACTGTCAGATTATTACTCAAAATAACAATTTCCAGAGAATTCACGACTCTCATCAGCAACTTGGACCAGTTCTGCCTTTGGTACATGACCCCATTTTTGTGTAAGAAAAGGCATTGCACAACAGATTTCTAATTTCTGATTTCTAATGGCTTTCTCTCGGCCACACTGAAGTGGTCCTTGATAAGAAACAGTCAATAATGGCTTCTGACACCCTGTGAGAAGATTCCATTGTAGCACAGTGGCGGCAATCTCAGGACTTGTTGTCGTAGCTGGTCGAGAACAGAGACGCTAATACTGCAACGGAATCTTTTTAAACTCTTGGGACTCCTAAATACCGAAAGACAAACAACACAAACAAACACACACGCGCGCACACAGATTTCGCAGTACAAACATCCATATCGGTGGATGCAGACTAAATAATAACAGAGGTAGATATACATATAGATAAGGATATATAATCTCTCTCTCTCTCTCTCTCTCTCTCTCTCTCTCTCTCTCTCTCTCTCTCTCTCTCTCTCTCTCTCTCTCTCTCTCTCTCAGTCACTCACCCTGTCTCTCTCTCTCT